AAATAGGCAATTATTTCATTAACTTTAGGCTTTCTCCTGGAACTTCTTTCTGCCTTCACACACACGTAGATGCTGGATTGCTTGATATTTCTATGAAGTGCACTGTTTATTTTTTATCCAGCCTTTTATTTTCTCCCTTTGCTTCATTTCCTCATTTGTTTGTGTTAATGTAGACTCAGCCTTACTGATCCTTTCTTCTATGCTGTCATATGTCGTAAATCCAATTCAGAATATTTTTTGTTCACACGCTCATTTTGTTCTATTGCTAGAAGGTCCATTTTGTTCTTTACATGTGTTCCTCCTCATCAAAAAGGTTTTCTCTTCAGCCTTTGACATATTTATAACTTTTATAATAGCTCCTTTACTTTCCTTTTTCTAATCCCATTACCTTTGTCATTATTGGGTCTGCTTTTACTGAATGACTTTTCTTCTAGTTATGGGCCATATTTTCCTACGTCTTCTCATGTTTGGAAATTTTTGATTGGATTCAGTATATAATAAAGCCTATTATATTTTTTTTATATTTGGAAACAGGGTCTTGCTCTGTTGCCCAGGCTGGAGTGCATGGTGCAATCTCAGGTCACAGAACCTCGGCCTCCCTGGTAGAAGCAATTCTCTTATCTCAGCCTCCTGAGTAGCTGGGACTACAGGCGTGTGCCACCATGTCCAGCTAATTTTTGTATTTTTCGTACACATAGGTTGGCATTTCATACACATAGGTGGGCTGGTTTCGAGCTGCTCTCCTCAAGTGATTCACCTGTCTTGGCCGCCCAAAGTGCTGAGATTATAGGCATGAACCACCACGACTGCCCGGCTTAAATTGTTGATTAACAATTTTGGTTGGTGTGGGTTTTTTTTTTTTCTTTTTTCTTAAAGAATGCTAGACATTATCTGGTTCATTTTTGGGGTTCTATATGTTCGTTTGGTTTTTTCAGGAACGGCTTGAAAATGTCTTGGAGCAGTAGTTGCAGAATAGTTTAATCTAGAGCTGACTGGCACCACTACTTGCTGATGGCTTTCTGAGGACTCTGAGTTCTCTCCACTTTACTGTGGGGATGAAGACTTTTCAAGATTTGTCTGTCCTCCTGAAATTGCCACTCACTCCCTTACAGAGCCTTTACTTTTTTCTGGCCTGGGGAAGTCTTAGCCCAAGTGTGCACACATCATAACATAGCCCAAGAGTGAAAGCATTCTTCTTTTCTCCAACACTCAAGATCAATGCTTCCTTCACTGGCCCACTCTCTGATATGTGCACTGGAAATTGGGCTCTGGTACAGGTTGGGTGTTTGTACTTTCCAAATACTATGTTGAAATGTAATCCCCAGTCTTGGAGTTGGGACCTGGCAGGAGGTGTCTGGGTCATTGGGGTGGATCCCTCATGAATGACTTGGTGCTGTCCCAGAGATAATCAGTGAATTCCTTCTTTGAGTCATGGGAGATCTGGTTCGTTAACACAGTGTGGCACCTCCCCAACTCTGGCTCCTTCTCCTGACTTGTGATACTCCTGTTCCCCCTTCCCTTTCCTACCCAGATGGAAGCTTTCTGAAGCCTCAAAAGGAGCAGATGCTGGCACCATGCTACTCATACAGCCTACAGAATGGGGAACCAAAATAAACTTCTTTTCCTTATGAACTACCCAGCATTAGGTATTCCGTTATAGCAGTATAAACAAACTGACACAGAACATTGGTACTGTTCAGGGGGTATTGCTGTAAAGACAGTTGAAAATATAAAAGTGGCTTTGTCACTGGGTACTGGCAGAGGCTGAAAGAGTTTGCAGAGCCCAGCAAAAGATAGGAAGATGAGGGAAAGTTTGGAACTCTTTAGAAACTTGTTAAATGTATGTGACCAAAATGCTCATAGAGATATGGACAGAGAAGTCCAGGCTACCAAGGTGTAAGATGGAAAAGTGGAAGATATTGGGAAATGGAACAAGGGTCACCAGTGTTACACCCCAGTAAAGAGCTTGGCTGCATTGTGTCCACGTCCTAGGGATTTGTGCAAAGTTGAACTTTAGAGTGATTACCTAGAGCGTGTGGTCTAAGTAGTTGCCAAGAAGTAAAGTATTCAAGATATGTGGCTGCTTCTACAAGCTTACAGTGAGATACAGGAGCAAAGAAATGATTTAAATATGGAACTTACATTTAAAAGGGAAGCAAAGCATAAAAGTTTGGAAAATTTGCAGCCTAGGAATTTAGTAGAGAAAGAAAAAGCATGTTGAGAAGAGGAATGTAAGTGTGCTGTGGAGAAATCACTTGCTAGAGAGATTCCCATGACTGAGAAGGAGCCATGTGCTAATGGCCAAGACAATGGGGAAAAGGCTTACAAGGCATTTTTGAAAACTTTGAAGCACTCCCTCCTACTGCAACCCACAGGCCTAGGAGGAAAGAATGGTTCAGTGACCACACCCAGGGCACAGCTGCCCTGCTCAGCCTCAAGACACTGTTCCCACATCCTGGCTGCCCAGGCTCCAGCCTCAGCTCAAAGGGCCTAATGTACAGATTGGCCACTTCTTCAGTGGGTGAAAGCCATAACGTCTTGGCAGCTTTCATGTGGTGTTAAGCCTGCAAGTATGCAGAGTGCAAAAACGAAAGAGGCTTGGCAGCTTCCACCTACATTTCAGAGGATGTGTGGCCAAGCCTGGTTCTCCAGGCAGAAAACTGCTGCAGAGGGAGAATACCAACAGAAAAATTCTACTAGCGCAGTACTAAGGGGAAATGTGGGGTTGGATTCTCCACACAGTATCCCCAGTGGGGCATTGGCTAGTGGAGCTGAGGGAAGGGGAACACTGCTGTACAGACTTGAGAATAGGAGCACCATTGACAGCTTGTACCCTCACCATAGAGGAGCCACAGGCATCAGATTCTGACCTGTGATAGGAGCTATGTGAGCTGCACCCTGGAAAGCTGCAGGGGCAGAGCTGCCCAAGGTCTTCAGAGCCCACCCTCACACTAGAATACTGAACATGGAATCAAGAATTGTTTTGGAGCTTTGAGGTTTAACAGCTTCCCTGCTGAGTTTCTGACATGTGTGGGGCCTGTAATCCCTTTTATTGTCCAGCGTCTGCCTTTTGGAATGGTGGTGTGTAGCCAATGCCTGAACCATCATTGTAACTTGAAAGGAAATAACTTATTTTTGATAGTACAGGCTAAAAGGTGGAAGGAACTTGAGTCTCAGGGGATGAGACTTTGGACTTTGGACTTTTGATTCAGTTAATGCTGGAAGGAATTAAGACTTTTGGGAGTGATTGGGAAGGGATGATTGTATTTTGCAATGTGAGAAGGACATGAGATTTGAGGGGCCAGGGGAAGAATAATATTTTTCAGATGTTTGTTCCCTCAAAACCTCATGCTGAAATCTAATCCTCAATGTTGGAAGTGGAATCTGGTGGGGAGGATTTGAGTTGTGGGGTGAATCCCTGATAAATGACTAAGTGCTTTCGTCCCAATAATGAGTGAGTTCTTGCTCCGAGTTTATGCAACATGTAGTTGTTTAAAAGAGTCTGGGACCTCCTTTCACCCTCTCGCTCTGCTCTCACCAGGTGATATTACTGCTCCCACTTCACTTTCCACTAGGACTGAAGGCTGATTGAGGCCTAATGAGGGGCAGATGCAGGTATCATGCTTCTCACACAGCCTGCAGAATAGTGAGCCAAAATAACTTCCTTTCCTGATGTATTCTCCCACCTTAGGTATTCCTTTAGAGCAACACACACAGACTAACACAGGGAGTATTGTGTTGTGTGAGCTTTGACCTCGGTCTTCTCAATGCCACAGGATGCTGGTCTCCATGTGAGTCTTCCTCCCTGTCCTGTCTTTCAAGACCCAAATGGCCATGAAAGGGTCTTCTTAAATAAAAGGAGAGTTTCTTCCTAAGAGAGTTTTGCTGCTTCCCCTACAACATAGGAATGAATGCCATTGTCATGGTGACATTTTAATTTTTCTTTTCTTGTGAAGCTTCACTTCTTTTATACAATCAACTGATATATGCTTCCAGGAACCAGGAAATCCACTAATTTATTCAAAGTAACAATATATGCATGGTGAATATTAAATGACTAAATAAAAGCAGGGTCTGACTGTCCTGGCATCAAGGTAGGTGAGTGTGACTGAGCTGGACAATTACAGGATTAGATCCCATCTTAATTTAAATTTTGAACATTTTCTTGATTATGTTGATTTTTTCATGAATATTATTTTTTAAAAAATCTATCACATTATAAGATCATCTATCTTAAGTATGGAATATATTAATGCTTACATTTTATATCTGAGGCCAGAGCCTCCCTCTATACACCCTAGTCTTGGCTCTGTCATCGCATCTGGATAAAATCTCTATCCAGATAAAAATGCTTTTACTCTAACAAGGTCTGGTTACTTTTTTCAATCTTGAGATTAGGAAAGACAATGGATTATTTTGGAACTAAGGTGCATTTTCCCTGAGGTTGGTGGTATGCACATTTAACGCAGAGTTAATGTGAAGAAATAGAGAGCTTCTTCTGCATGTAGGATACACCCACAGACTTCATGATTGAAGGACCAAGCCCTCCCGAGGAGAGAGAGCAGGGCCAGGGAGCTATTCTGATGCTTCCCCTTAGAGTTGATGCATCTTTCTTCTTGAGGTTTGCTCCCCTCTGCTTGTGTCCCATGCTGTATTGTCCTCATTTAATTGTGCCCTCCAAAAGACTTGTTTTTTACAGCATTTACTTGGATCCTATTGTGTTTGTATGTAAGAACACCCTTGTACAACTGCATTTTGCCATCCAATTTAAGAAATAGCTTATGAATGACCAGCACATAAACGAATAAGACAAAGTCCACACCAGTAGAGCTCTCATAGCTAAATGGAGAATTAAAAATTCACACACCTCTGTAGGAGGCGTAATTGCATAGGAAACCTTAACCAGAAGAAGAGAGTCCTTGTGAAGAACAGAGGACTGGGCATCCCCTCCCTTGGCAGATCCGCTGTGATTCCATGAGGGAAGTGGTCTTTGAGTTGGGCTTGCTTTTTTTAGGGAAGATGTGGGGTAGGCATACAAGGGGAGGGTGCAGGAGGAGCAAAGCACACGTTCTACAAAAATGTCAGGAATAACTGGAGAAGGTCAAGGGATCCAAATAATACAGATGCCTGTGACCATGGAAAGCACTCCAAGCCCCACTGTGGCATCCTTGACCCTTGCCTGGAGAGAAGAAAACGGTGTTCCAAGGATGTTAGAGATTGGCCTGCCCAAACTAGCACCACACCATAACCGCAATGACTAGGATCAAGATTCTGTAAATCTGAACACCACAGTTTAATTTTGTTTACATGTCGCACATCTCTGACGAGGGAGCCCTTTCTGAATCCACATCAGTTACAGCAGCTTCTTGGCCTCCTCATGGCTTTTTGCAGCATTTTATTGCAGAGACGCCACAGACGCCGATATGTTTATACCTTCTAGGGCAAAAGCCTGGATGACATATGGCACCACTCCTAAGGCAGGTAACAGGATTCCTTATATCACCAAAAGCACCTAACAGGAAAAAAAAACACACAAAAAGAGCAAACAGCGTGTTAGGACTCAAAACTCATGTTGCAAAAACACAAACGCTGTGTCTGTATTGCCTTGAATAAATCTGCAGTGGACTTCTTTCTGAAGCCTGGGCTTTTCCATGAGACGCGAGTCAATCATTTGGATCGAAGTTTCTGACATGGAAACTAGCACTGCTGTGGTTTAGGGGATGTTCGTTTTTGTCAAATCTGATTGTGAAAGACCCTGATCTCTCCTGAGTGACTGGGGTCTCCAGGTGGGGTCTGGTAGGGGCTCGGTAATGTTCTCTTGTGACTTCAGCTCCACCACAAGTAGATAAGATCAAAGCCACCCTACCTCCGTTTTAACACACAAGCCAGTAACTTTTTGCTTTTCAAATCATTTAGTCTGTTAAGTATTTGATCTGAGATGGGATAAAAAGGTACAACTCACAGAAATTGTTCAATGTGAAATTAACACCACGTAACTTACAGTCGAAAACCACAATTAACCACAGAAATAAACTTTTGTAATGGCTTGTTTCTAATATCTAAGTCCTGGTTTCACCTCATTCTTCTTTTTTGATCCCTCCCTGTCTCTGTCCCTCCCTCCCTGCCTCCCTGCCTCTCTCCCTCCCTCCCTGCCTCCCTCCCTTCTTCCCTCCCTACCTGGGTCCCTGCCTTTCTCCCTCCCTGCCTCAGTCCCTCCGTGTCTCCCTCCCTCCCTCCGTCCCTCCCAGCCTCCCTGCCTCCCTGCCTCCCTGCCTCCCTGCCTGCCTCCGTCCCTCTCTGCCTCTCTGCCTCCCTTACTGCCTCCCTACTTCCCTGCCTTCCTTCACGATACTGTTCTGGGTGTTGGAAAATATGAGGTCTCTGGTGCCTCTCAGAGCCCCGTTCTTCTCAAAAAACCCAGGACTCATAAATAAAATTGGTAAAATGACGCTTTCACAATATGATATCTATGTGATTAATTCTTTTGGGTTTTAGTCTCAAATTTTCTTTTTCCCTCTCTCCATCCTTCCCTTCCACTCTCCCTCTTTTATCTTTTCATGGTTTTTATTTTATTTCCATATTATCAAGGAGAAAATGAAGCTTAGACGTCCCGGTTAAAAGTTGCTTTCCATGGGCCATCTCTGTACTGTGAACCTGCAGTGGCCTCGTGGCAGGGACTGTTCTCAGGACCTCCGATCGGAAAAGTCCTAGGGGCAGAGTGTCTGCAGCAGTAGTTCCTACAGTGTAGGCTGGGCCTTAAGATTATCTGGAATTCTCTAGGTTGCAGTATTTTACGCTTTCAATATAAAAATTTAGAAAATGACATTCTGTACTACTTTCTTTAGATAAAATCAAAATTTCTGACTTTTATTTAAAAAGTCACCTAACAGGTTTCAACCATAGTCTTAGCATGGAAAGCAGTGAGGAGATGAGATTTACAAGCTACTAGGCTCCTTCATATTGGCTTAGAAGAGAGAGTGAGGTGTCCATCGGGTTGTCAAACTTCTATATTGAACCAATGCTTGGTTCAATTAAGTAACGCATGTGGTCTACTCAGTCTAAAAGTGTGCGTAGAAGAAAGAGAAAGACCAGCTCTGAGGGACAGAGGGAGAGAGAGATAGGGAAAACAGAGAGAGAGAGGGAAACAGAGAAAGAGGCAGGAGGGAGTGGGGAGAGAGAGAGCGGCAGGAGAGAGAGAGAGAGGGGATAGGAGTGAGAGAGGGAGAGAGCAAGGGTCAGGGCAGAGAGAGATAGAGGGAGAGAGAGAGGCAGGAGAGATAGATAGAGGAGGGAGAGAGCAAGTGTCAGGAGAGATAAAAATAGAGGGAGACAGACAGACACAGGAGACAGAGACAAGAGAGAGAGATAGAGAGACAGGAGAGAGAGGGATAGAGGGAGACAGGGAGAGACAGGAAATAGAGAGATAGAGGGAGAGGGTGCAGGAAAGAGAGAGAGAGGTAGAAGAGAGAGCGGGTAGGGAAAGAGAAATGAGAAAGAGAGGGAGAGAGCAAAGGGCAGGAGACACAGTCAGGAGAGAGAGATGTAGGAGAGAGAGTCGGGAGAGAGAGAGAGAGGTAGGAGAGAGAGACAGAGGAAGAAGAGAGAGGCAGGAGAGAGAGAGGCAGGAGAGAGCAAGGGTCAGGAGAGAGAGAGATGGAAGAAGAGAGACAGAGGCAGGAGAGAGAGAGGAGTGAGAGAGAGGCAGGAGAGAGAGAGATAGAGGAGGGAGGGAGAGAGAAACGGAGGGAGGATTAGGGGAAATTAGAGAGGATATGGACAGCCTCTACCCGATTCTTCCATTTTTCCAACCTCTCATTTCCCTGGCCCGTCTCACCTGGAAGAGGCATCAGGAATATGAAGAGGAACGAGAAGAGGAGATACAGGACCTTCATGGCTGATGGCTGGGAGCTTCACCAGAAGCTGAGTCTGGGGAAGACACCGAGCCTTCCACCTTATAAAGGTCCTGGTCCGTGGTCACCGGGTAGAGTTCAGAACTGGTATTGGCTGCAACGCTCATTACAGGGATTAGAATTCAACCACTTACCTGGTGAGTCAGAGAATAGTCCTCAAAGAACAACGCACACGCAGGAGATCTTATGCAAATCTGGATTCAGGAAACCCCAGAAAATCCCTTCCTCCTGCTCTTGGGACCAGAAAATTCCTCTTATCTTGCGCCACTTAAAATCCAGTGTATGAATGGAATGAGGGGCTGGGCCTTCTCACAGGGGAACAAACTCAAACTCAGGGCCTATAGCGTGGAACTCACCTGCCACCCACTCTGTGAGACGCCCTGTTTTTCCTGAGTATTTGTGGGCAGTCTCAGGCCAAACTGCGAGCTCTTTCCATCTAATTCTACCCATTGCTGGGACATTCAGCTCCTGGGGATGATACAAGGCTGGTTCAAACCCAGGCACCCCGGAGGGACTCAGGGCTTCTGGCAACACTGGGAGCATGGTGGGCCCCGTCCTCCCAGGTGATCCGAGCTAGTAAAATTCATGTGAAAGCTCCCCTGAAACTCCCCATCTTCCCCCGGGACAGAGATGAGGCAAATGGGTGCCCGCTTCCTTCCTCTGAGAAGGAGAATGGGAGGGTGGGATTGTGACTACATGTGGCCCCTCAGAGTCCACCCAGGCCCGGGTCAGGAGGTGGCCTATGGCCCACACTTGAATTCCTTAGGCTCACACCATCACTCAGGGAACATCAGCTCCGCAGGACTTCAGGGCTTTGCGAGCCAGGGCTTTCCCTGCTTTCCACAGACGTCAGTGCTAAGGGAGCTCACTGCCTTTGGGATTTGGTGGAGAAGCACGGAGTGGGGGTGCAAGGCCTCCACATGGTGTCCCTGTTGGCGATGGGTCCCTCAGGACCCTGTCCTTCCTCAGTGACCCAGAGAAGTCATCGGGGATCATAAACAATGAATAGAGCCCCATGCCAGGTGCTCAGGGGCCAGACTTTTCTCAGGAAAATAAGAGACCTTTATCCTAGTTCCTCCCTCTTTGGATCTAAGGGCAGTTTGAGAGACAAGCAGGCCCCAGTGTCCGTGTCTGTGATGTCTCGGAGGTGTAGCAGTGACACAGCCATGGGGACAATGAGACTTTACTCGTGACCTGCCTGATCTCTTCATTTAAAATGTCAGGTTCTGAAGAACCCTTTTCCTGGCAGGCCAGAAGTGGATTTAAAGGAAGCTGGTGAGGACATTGCGCGGCCAAGACCTTCAATGACTTTGTCCATAAAAGGGAGTTTCTGATGGGGTATGCAAAGAGAGGGCTGGGTCAGGTGCCATTGGAACTGCTAAACGGACATGAACCCAGGGCTGCAGCTCAGTCACCAGAGAGTCATTCCCTTTGTCAGGAGTTTGTCTCCCTGTGTGTTGAGCAGGCTGGAATCAAGGGGCAGACTCATTCATTCCTGACACTAAAACTATTTCCTCCTGGTGAAGAAAACATACAGAGAAATGGAATGGGAAATAAAGCCTTTATGTGCTTTGTCTAAATTAATAATTATGTTTTTAAAATGTATATGTCGCTGTCACCTTTAGAAAGAGGCAAACATCATGATACTTCACACTATTATCTCAGCATGGATCTCTTACAAATGAAGAAGAATTCTCACACCAATCACGGTACCATTTACACAAATTAACAAGAATAACTCTGTGGCCTGAACAGACAGGAGCCATAGGTGCTCAGGAAGCAAAGTGTCAGTAAATTATTACAAAACAAAAGTGTGCCCAGTAAATTATTGCAAAACAAAAGTGTGCCCAGGGACACTGAAATTATTCCAAGAGTAGCTTCATGGCTGGGTGCATGTTCAATCCAGATTCACATGTTGAAATAAGTTGTCACATCTCTTTCCTTGTTGAGTAAATATTCTTAAGGAAATGCCATGGTACTTGGCAAGGGGTCTTCCTGGAGTTATTACATAACTCTTATATGTAAATAAGAGTTTGAGTTAAGAAAGTGGTTCCCATTTTTTGACGTGTGGCATCACTCCTGATTGATACGTTCTTAATGACTCCTATGCTTAACATGATTATTATAAAAGTAATACACTCATATTTAAAAACTCACGCATAGAAGAGAGTGAATTTTTCCTATACAGCAGTTCCAGTCCCAGGAACCACCAATAGCTTTGTGGTTTTATACTTGTTGTCCTCTCTAGAGCTCAGTACATTTGTGAGGCCTTGTTAGAGAAGGAGGTGAAATTGCTCTGAAATAGGAAAGTCACTGTGACATGCAGCGCCTCTGTGTCCCTGGGGAAGAAGCCACCAAGACTTAGGTAACATTGGTTGCTCAAGGACAGCTGGGCTGACTGTTCCCATGAAGATTCCTATGGTTGCAGCTGCTTCTTTTTTCCTGGCATGGTCCAGTGTGACTCCTTCACAGCCATGTTTGTCCTGGTCATAAGCTTTGTCTGATAAAGTCCACCAGAGTATCACTTTTGTCTTTGAAAGGTACAGTTATGATCTTGCTTCTGCAAGGAAGACCATCCACCGGCACAGACATGAGGGCCTTCCCAAAAGCTCAAAACATAGCTATGATAGGATTTGAGGGCATGCCAAGCTTAGGTAAAACCGAATTTAATTCATTTTTATGAGCTCAAAACAAAGCCGTGTAAAAGGGGAACCATCAAGCCTGACTGAGACTCATGGCCTGTTTTCAATGGAACATGAGGATCCATGCTGTGTCCCCAAACCTCACGCTGTGTCCCAAACCCCTTTCCTGTAACTGGGGAGGAGCTTTCAGGCTGTGTCTTTGTGGCAAAGTGCTTCGGTTCCCCAGGTGAGAGTGGGAAGCCCCATTCCTATAGATAGGCTCCCAGAAAACAAGGTCTCTCCCATCTGTGATTTTAGAAAACCAAGTTTCTCGGCACTAAGTCCTCAGCGTCAAGTAACAGAAGCAGGTGTATTCATTTCTATTTCTGTGGAATGGCCAGCTTCGTGGGCATCAGGGCAGGGCAGTCCCCTGCTCTCAGAGGGCTGGGGCCTGGTGTGAGAAAGCCACCGTATCGACATTCCAAATGATTTTTTCTTTGAACCTGCGTTTTGTAAGTGCGGTCCTGTGAGACAGCGCAGCATGTGCATGGGCAGAGTGGATACACAGGGACACAAGCTGGACAGGCTCAGGCCCTGGGGCACCACGGGCACATGACTGGTGATAGCTGGTCTAGCTGCCCTTAGCACGCACATCCCTGGAGAAGCCCAGACACCTGGGGGCTGGGACGGGAAGGTGGCAGCGGCGGCAGCAGCAGTGTTCTCAGCCCTGGGTGTTCTCTGTGTGGGGGCGGCACCGACACCTCTGTGCCTGTTCATCCCCAGAGTCACTCTTGGAGCTTTTGCACAAATGTTAACCTTCTTGCTTGCGCACTGGGACGGGAACCATAGATGACCAGGCAGCAAACTATCAGTAAATTAATGAAAGACAAAATGTGCACATGGACATTGCAATAAAGTGGACCAGGGAGTTAGAGTTTTTCAGAGAGTTTAGAATTCTTCAAGGAGTTATCACGGCCTCAAAAATGGAAATTAAATTTATAAAGATCATCATGTTCAACAGAGAAGAGTGCTACTTTTATATAAACCTTAAGCAGGGCAATTTTTAAATAGTTTTTCTTATTATTATTAAAGATACAGAAATGGAATACATAAGCAGGCATTTTCAATAAACTACAAATTATGATGCCACTTTGGGTCTGGCATAGGCCTCTGCAAATTACAGGAAATGTCAAAAGAGGCATCAGAATTCCATTGGATAAGTTCGCATTTAAAATTCAGTTCAAACTTACAGGATTTGTTTAAACCATTTTAAAAGAATTCATTTTATGGTAGCTCACGCCTGTAATCCCAACACTTTGGGAGGCCGAGGCGGACAGATAACCTGAGGTCAGGAGTTCGAGATCAGCATGGCCAACATGGGGAAACCCCGTCTCTACTAAAAATACAAAAATTAGCCGGGTGAGGTGGCGCACGCCTGTGATTCCAGCTACTCAGGAGATGGAGGCAGGAGAATCACTTGAGCCAGGGAGGTAGAGGTTGCAGTAAGCCGAGATTGTGCCACTGCACTCCAGCCTGGGAGACAGAGCGAGATTCCTTCTCAAACAAACAAACAAACCATTTTAAAAGAATCACTAGCTCCAGATATACTAAAATTTGTTAGTATATCAAAATAATTCATCCCCATATTGTCACAGCTTAGAAAACATTCCAGAAGCATTTGCTTCAGCAGATTCTTCTCAAAAGAAAAAATGAAGTTGCACCAGGTATAAAGTTTGATGACAAAACAAATTAGTTGATAGATGAGTGGGCCAGAAAAATTGTGTGATTCACCCATATATCCCATTAGTAAGACATTATTATTTATTCTATTATAATCATGACATTCATTTTGTGGGGAGATTTGTATGACTCTGTCATTACTCCTGTATAACTATTATCTCTATTTCATTTTTCAAATGATAAAAAATATTGGCTTGAGTAAGCTGAATATCTTCCCACCTTTCATTACACTTTCTTCTGCTGCTCTTTGAACAAGGCGCCCTGCATTTCCATTTTGCACTGAGCATTGGGAATTTTGCAGCCAGCCCGGCCGTGGCCATTTTTATTCAAGCTATCTGATTTAATCCCCAGAAACAAACCTGCCAGAGGGGTATTACCCAAGTTCACGAAGGCAGTTCCTGGGGCCTAGAAAGGCTAGAGGACATGTTCAAGGTCACCTGGCTACTAAGTGGCAGAGATGCAATTTGAAATAAAATCCCCCTCTCTTCAAAGCTCATGTTCCTAACCACCGCCACATGGTGTCCTGACAACCTCCCCTCTTCATCCTCCTACAACCCCAAAGCTACAGTAATGCTCTGCCTAAGGCCAGAGTCCATGGAGCTACTGTCATCCTCTCCCATCTCCTGAGCTGAGTGGTGAGTCAGAGCCTGGCCTGACCCTGCAGGAGGTGAGGGAATGAGCGCGCAGTTACTGCCACCTGGTGGCGGCTCCTTTATCTGACCCTAAAACGCAGATTAATCTCAGTTTCCTGCCTCCCTGAAGCCTGGGTGTGCACCTGAGACTTCTTGTCATTTCTTTACCCCTTAATGAACCTATTGAGAGTTCTCACAATTTTATGGATCCTCTCAAGGAATCAGCTTTTATTTATTTATTTTTAATGTTTATTTGTGCGTGTCCAGTTTCTTTTTATTCACTCTTTTTCTTTCTCTCTCTCTCTCTTTTTTTGTTTTCTTATTTACTTTGGGTTTAATTTGTTCCCTTTTCCCTTACTGTTTCTTACAGTGGAACCTTAAATTGTCTATTTGTGAGCTTTTCTGCTTTCTATCATAATAGCATTTAATTATAAATTTGTCCCCAAGAGCTGCTTTAGTGGCACTTCCACAAATTTCAGTATGTTATGGTTTCATTTTCTAACAGTTCAACATATTTTCTAATATATCTTGTGATTTCTCCTTTGACCACTTAGAAACATGTTCATTGATGTCCCAATATATGGGGATTTTTCCAGATGACTTTCTGTTATTGATAGCTTTGTAAATTCCACTGTAGATAGACACTATCTTTTGTATAATTTTAAACTATGTTGATTTTTTGAGACATTTCATAGGTTAGTATGTGCTCTATTGGGTAATATTTTAATGCATTCTGCTGTTATTTGGTAGAGTGTTCTATAAATCTCAAATAGGTTGTGCTGGATGATACTGTTGTTCAAGTCTTCTCTATCTTTACTAATATTTTGTCTGCTTTTAAAAATCTATTACAAGAAGAGAAGTGTTGAATTCTCTAATTGTAATGTTAATTTGTCTATTTCTTTAATGTCTACTGATTTTTCTTTAAGAATTTCAAAATTCTATTATTAGGCACATACTGATTTAATATTAATGTCTGCTCTTGGTGATGTAACCACTTTATCATTAGGAAAAATATCCCTCCCTATTACTGATAATACCCGTTGCTCTAAAATCTACCCCAATTTATGTCAATGAGCCAATATAGCCAATCCTATTTTCTTTATACTGATGTTTTCATACTATATCTCTTTCCATCCTTTTATTTTTACTCTAAATTTGTTCTTACAGTTTATATATAAAGTGGGTTTTTATAGACAGTATGTAGTTGGGTCTTGTTTTTTACTGAACTGAAAATCTCTATCTTTAAGGAGCTTCTAGAATGTTCACAGCATGCTCTTTTCATCATGTGGAATCAAATTTTTACCTGGCATCTTCCCTTTCTGCCAAAAAAATTATTTTTGCATTTTATAGTACGGACTTGCTGGTGAGGAACTCTCTTAGCTTTTACTGTTGTTACTGGAAAATGCCTTTACTTATTATTTGATTATGTGTTTACCCTTTTTTTAGAAATATACTTTTGCTGGGATGGATTTCTAAGATAACATTTTTTTTTCTTTTGGCAGTTGAAGATATCACTTATGTTTTGTTCTTCTGTAAGTAACATGTCTCCTTTCAGGCTGCTTTGTAGTTTTATTTTTGTTTTTGAGACAGAGTCTCGCTCTGTTGCTCAGGCTGGAGTGCAGTAGGGTGATCTCAGCTCACTGCCATCTCCACCTCCTGGGTTCAAGAGATTCTCCTGCCTCAGCCTCTCGAGTAGCTAGGATTATAGGTGCATGCCACCATGCCCAGCTAATTTTTGTGTTTTTTTTAGTACAGACAGGGTTTCACCATGTTGGCCAGGCTGGTCTCAAACTCCTGACCTCAGGTGATCTGCTCGCCTTGGCCTCCCAAAGTGCTGGGATTATTGGCATGAGCCATTGTGCCCGCCCTCAGGTTGCTTTTAAAATTTTCTTTTTATTACTGATTTAAAATAATTTGATTATGATATGTTTCATGTGGTTTTCTTCATGTTTGTTCAGTTTGGATGTCTTCATGTGGTAATTTTGTGTGTCTATAGTCTCACCAAATTTGGAAAACAATAGGCCATTCTTTCCTTAGCTCTATCCTCTCTCCCAAAACTTCTTTTTTTTTTATATTTGAAACAGAGTCTTGCTCTATTGCCCAGGCTGGAGTGCAGTGGTGTGATCTCGGCTCACTGTAACCTCTGCCTCCCGGGTTTAAGCGATTCTCCTGTCTCAGACTCCAGAGTAGCTGGGATTAGAGGTGCATGCCACCACGCCCAACCAAATTTTTATTTTTAGTAGAGGTGGGGTTTCACCATATTGGCCAGGCTGGTCTTGAACTCCTGACCTTGTGATCCGCCCTCCTCAGTCTCCCAAAGTGCTGGGATTACAGGTGTGAACTGCCACACCTAGCCATCTAAACACACATTGGTGCTAGATTGCTTCATGTTTCTGCACAGGTCACTGCTTATTATTTTCCAGCCCTTTCCTCCGCTCTTTGCATTATTTTTTCATAAATATAAACTCAATAGTAATATAAACTCAGGTTTACTGATCTTTATTTTGGAATATATGCCACAATCCAATTCATAATATTTTTTACTCAAATGTTTATTTTTAATCTCTGGAAATTCCATCCTTTTTTTCTTTATATCTCTCACTCATTATAAACAGTTTTTCCCTTCAACCTTGGACACATTCATAACGTTTATAATAGCTCATTTATATCTTTTTTGCTGATCCTAGTGTCCTTGTCATTTCTGGATCTGTTTTAACTGAAAGATTTTCCTCTTGGTTATGACCATATTTTCCTGCATGGCTACTAAGTTTTTACTAGGTTCAGTGCATTATAAAGCACAAATTGTTGAATGACGGATTTAGTTGTTTTCCTTTGAAGAATGTTAGGCTTTATTCTGTCACACATTTAAGTTTCTTATAGATCAGTCTGGTCCTTTCAAGAATGGTTTAGAAAAAAATTTGTTAGAGTAGTTGCAGAACAATTTAATCTAGAGCCAAATAGCACCACTACTAATGGGTTAGTTGTCTGAGAACTCTGCAGTCTGTCCACTTTGCTGGTGGGAATGAAAACTTTTCCAGCCTTTAGTGCTCCTGAAATTGTTATCCAATCCCCTTTGGGTGTTTTCGTTTGCCTCTGGCCTTGTGAAATCTTACCTCAAGCATGCTCACATGAAAACACAGCAGCCCGGGACTGAAGATTTACCATGTGTCCCTGCCCCTACCACCAACACTTGGGGGCCTTGCTTCCTTCTAGGTACCCTCTCTCTGCTATTCTGCCCTGGAAGTGGGGGTGTCTTGTGCTTCGGGAAGTTTGATTTCAGTCTCTTCAATGCCTCAGGATCGCTGGTCTTCGTTTGAGTCTTCCTCTGTGTGCTGTGGTCTGGACCCTGCCGCTGTAGTAAGCTGGGGGCAGTCGAAAGCGTCACTTCACTGGTCTGTTGCACTGCTTATTACCCAGTCTCTGAACACAGCTGTCACACTTGTTGACAGGTTCCCTTTTGTCTACTGTCAGAGGGAGAGTCCCATAGCAGTGAGTCCATTTTGGAAGGAAAGTGAGGAGCAGTCTCATCTTTTTGGGTCCTTGAGCCTTTCTTCCTAAGAGCCTTGTTGTATTGTCTTTTCTCCATATATGGTGCCATGACTGGGGTCTGGTGTCGGTATGCAGGACCACGCACTCCATTTGCTGGAATCCTTCTGCATCAACGTTGAGAGAGCACTAGATAGTTAAACTGCAGTACCTCCAAATCATGTGAATGATTAAAGATACTTCAATCAATAAATCATTTGAATCTACTTCAATTCAATAAATACTTGTGAGCAACCTTCATGCCCAGGGCACTTTACAAGCAGTCCAGGAAGAATTAAGACAAACTCCTTGCTTTAAGGCTCACAAAATCTAATATGGAGATGGGCAGTATGTCACTGTACATAATGTAAAAACCAAGCAAGGGTTATAGATGGAGGACTCAAGTCAGAACCCTGTGGTGAACCAGAGGAAAGACTGTAAGCATTTGGAAAATCACCTGTGGTTTTAAGATGGAGATAAAATGTGAGACGGTCCCTGAAGGACAGGTTAAAGTTTAGAGATGAAGTTGGAGGAGTGAGGCAGACATGAGGCCAACCAGAGCAGAGGCATGGGTGAGAGAAAGCAAAGTGAATATCTGAGGAAGAGCCAGGTTCCCTATTTCTCTGAAGACAAAGTTTTTGGAAGGAATTGGGATAGCCCCTGAGGGATGCATGAAAACCTTAGAGATAGATGTAGTGGAGAGATGCCATTTGGGGTAGAGGGACTGAAAAGGCTCAAGGCTTGGGTGACATGAAAGCAAAGGGCGTATTTCAAGAGAGTGAAGAGTCCAACTTCACTGGGGCGTCACGTTCACAAAGGAGGAATAGAACCTGGTAACCCTTGGATAATAAGGTCAGCCTCCCTTGTAGATTTCTCCAGAGATTCTACTTTCTTTGAAAGAAAGGTGAGTCCTTAAGACTTTCTGAGTTGCCTGTTTGGAAACAACTACCAAAATGACCAGCTTTTTTTTTTTTTTTTTTTTTTTTTTTAAATCAAGCTCCTAGTTTTTTGGAAAAACCTTTTAATTTGATTTTACTTTTATAAACTTTAAGAAGGCATTTCCACATTTTACAACATTCTCGTCATGTTTCTGGGTTTTTACTTCTTTCTTCGACAGCATTTTCGGCCACGTGTCGAGCACTTGCCAATCTGTTCCTCCTTTGGAAGGCAGCTGAGCACAGCACACCGGCCACCTCTGACTCTGCAATAATATTTCTGCAATGTGTTTATGATTCCTCCATGACCTGCAATGACAAAATAGCACACATGGAAAGGTTTTAGGACGGCTTTTGGTATTCCTCAAATAAATAACTCATCTGTTGCTTTTCTTGTATTCTTTTATTTCTTTTTCCTTTTTCTATAAAATTGGGAGAAAAATAAAGGTATGACTAAACAACCCAGAGACAATGTTTCTACGGCTGCAGCTCAGCTGTGGACCCACAGTGGCACCAGGAAAGTGGCGTGACCCTGTGACTGCCACAGGAACAGTGGGGGTGCTGAGGCTGTGGTGTCCTCAGAGGCAGCCCAAACACTCCACCCCAACCACTGCACTTAGGAAAACAGGAGCCTGTGCCTCTGTTCTGTTCAGAGTAAATCAATCTTCCCTGCTGCATTAAAATTTTATGTTGGATTCATGTCTCATCAGCAGGTATAACAATCTTCCCATGAAGAGATGGGGAAAGAGCTTTGGGGAGCTATTTAGTTTCTTAGGAGTGGATCAGGAAAGTTTGGGAAACCTGATTCACGGTTCTTAATTCTTCTTCTTCTTCTTCTTTTTTTTTTTTTTGAGATGGACTCTCACCCTGTCACCCAGGCTGGAGTGCAGCGGCGCGATCTCGGCTCACTGCAACCTCCACCTCCCGGACTCAAGCAATTATCTGTCTGTCTCCCGAGTAGCTGGGATTACAGGTGCCTGCCACCATGCCCGGCTAATTTTTGTATTTTTAGTAGAGACAGGGTTTCACCATCTTGGCCAGGCCGGTCTTGAACTCCTGACCTCGTGATCCACCCACCTCGGCCTCCCAAAGTGTTGGGATTACAGGTGTGAGCCACCGCGCCCGGCTGCTAAATGATTCTTGTCTGAAAAAAAAATGGTGATGCCTAGTTCCCATACAACAAACCTGCTTGGTCTAAGGCGCTCTGAAGGATGGAGAAAGACTGACTCTGAATTATGTATTCTCAATTAGTTCAATCCTTGGATTTCCCAGCCCATCTTACCTGGAACAGGCACCAAAAACAAGAAGAGCAAAGCAAACAGAAGATAATGGATCCTCATAGCTGCCAGGCTTCACCCCACGCTGAGACTGGATGGAAAGGTGTGCTTGGTCACTTTATAAAGGTTCCAGCCATGGTTGCAATTCTTGTCATGTTACAGTGATGAGACTATGACATGTTTCCTGATGCGTCATACCAATACCTCTCACCATGCAGAACACACCCACTCACTCAGTTCATTAGGAACCCGATGGAGAGGCAGAGCTCCCTGTGAATGCGTGGCTGTCCTGGAGCTCTCTGGGCTCCAGGGGCTTGTTTGAGTGTGGGTTGGATTGGGTTGTGGGTACAGATAGGGCTGGCATGGGCAAGAATGCCCCCTTTGGGGAGTAGTCTCAGGGCATGTGGCTGGGGCCTGACTTGTCCGTACTTGGTTACTCTGGAGCTTTTCTTCCTCTTCCTAAAATGCTGGGAGAGTCTAAGACCCTCCTGGGGACCAAATAAATCCAGCCCTGGACATACTCAGTATCTGGCAGTAGGACTAGCCTTTTGGTAGTGAAGTAAGGGAGGAAAATGGGCTACATTCCCTGTCCCCTTGGCCCTTGGCCTATGATGGAGTGCTATAATTTGAGTGAAACATGGGTCATTCTTTCATTTTAATTGCGGGGGGAGACAGAGTCTCACTCTGTTGCGCAGGCTGGAGTGCAGTGGCCTGATTACAGCTCACAGCAGCTTGAGCTGTCAGGCTCAAGAGGTCCTCCCACTTCAGTCCCCTGAGTAGCTGGGACCACAAATGCATGCCTCCACACCTGCCTAAATTTTAAATGTTCTGTAGAAAATAAAGTGGGTTCTCCCTATGCTGCCCAGACTGGTTTTGAGCCCAGATGTGGACTCCGGGGCTCAAGCAATCCTCCCACTTCAGCCTCCTAATTTGCTGGGATTACTGGTATGAGCCACTGTGTGCAGCCCATGTCTGATTCTTCATCATTGTCTAAAACCTACCAAATTTATGAGTAAAGAAGGTGTTTAATGTTACTTCATCAGAGAAAGGGGATGCTGGGATGATAGATTTAATAGACTGGCGTCTCCTCCTAGTCAAAGACTATCCCTGTACAAAAGAGGGGCTTCAGAATAGACATTTAAGACCTTAAGTTACTCTTGACTCAGGAGCATTCGAGGTTGTCCAGGGGCCAGAAGATTTCCCCTGGGTATAGATTCAATGTTTCAAGGAAAAAATGCTAAAAAAGGGGAAAAAACCCAGCAATTAGACTTAAATGTTCAGGAATCCAATAGATGGGTTATATTTGGTTGACTATCAGTTGGGAGCTAAGTAAGTCAATGACAATTCAATTGGGAGCTGAAGTCACCATGATGTCTCCTAGCTGCTGCTTCATGTGAATGCAATTATAACGGATCCACTAAGGATCCAGGGTGTGTTAGTTCTGGCAGTGTGTGTTCAGAATTTGGGTGCACCCACACCTGTCAGATTCAGTAAGCAAACTCTGAACACACACTATAGGAAGGGACAAGTATCATGTTTCAGGGTAGGTGAGGGTGAAGTGGGTGAGATACAAAGAGGGACCAGTCTTGGTTCTTTCTCTCCAGAAGCTCCATGTAGGGCCAGGTAGATGGGCAGGCAGTCAAATGATAAATTTAGGATGGATTCTAATGGGAGTCATAGGAAGAGTTCAAGCACAGGGCTGCAGAAATGTAGAAGAAAGATAACTCAGGCTAAGAGTGGAGCTCAATCAGCAGATGTAAGACTTTAGATTTGTAGATACTTCTTTTTAAAATCTAACTTCCCTCTTAAGTTCATGATTTGAGACAAAGAAATTGGAGATATTTATAAATGGGGGAAGGAGGTGAGTGTGGATGGGATGAGTGCTGACTTCACAGTCTTACTATGTCAGAGATAACAATGGCGTTGGGTGTTGTAGATTAGCACCAGCTCTCAGCCTGGGGTGCAGACAGTCAGACGCTGGAGATTACTTGCTTTTCCACATGGAGAATAGACCTCCACAGATGAACCCCTGGTCTAACCTGTTCCTTCACAGACTGGGAGGCATTTTTATGACAACGCCACTATTTCATAAAGGTTCCTTGGGAAGGAAAAAGCGCCACTTTTTCTTGTCAACTAATTTGGGAGCTGGGAATTGGAGATTGGGCTGTGACAATCAGCCTTTTCAAGTTTGGACACACTCCTCACTCACAAAATCAGTGTTGAGGGGGACTTATGTGTTTTAAGAAAATTATAAAAGTAATGCATTTTTATGGTAAAATTTCAAATAATAGAAGGGAGAGACTGTGTAATTTACTTCTTTACTCCGGGGAACCACTGGTAACTGTGAATTGCCCTCTTTTTGGCTTATTACAATCCTTTTTATGTCATAATTTAGCCTCCCAAAAGATAACAATTACACATATACTGTCCTAATAGTTGGGTGAATAAATTCATGCATCTGAGGCTTTACAACACTAACGAGAGCTGGGTCTTGTCACTCCCTGCCCCTGGGCTCTGAGTCACAGCTCTTGGAACTGCAGATCCTGCAAATTTTTGCACTCCATGTTCTTGGTTTCCTTGTAGCTCTCACAGCCAACATTTCTACAATTTTGATTAGGTTGCGCGAGGAAGAGAAACTTTAGTTATTTATCACCTTTGTTCTTGTCAGACTTTCCTTTAATTATTCTTTTAAAATCCTGTTCTGAAAATGTGGAGCAGAGATGTGATTGGTCCAAGTTTTTGGCTTGAGGGCAGAGCTCTGTGGAAGACAAACACCAGGTCTGAAGTGAGGCATCATCGGGCTGTGGCTCAGCCCTACCATGTATGGTGTGGGTTTACCTGAATAAATTAGCTAAGCTCTGTGAGCATCTGTAACTCAGCAACAAAGCGCAGAGAGCAGTACATTTCCTGTTTAGGTCACAGTGAAAGCCCTATGAGTTAATGGTGTGAAATTGACTTGTACGTTGCAAATTACCATGTGACCCATGTATCACCAAAGTGTCACCCATGTGACCCTCGGCTAACAATATCAAGCCTCTGACATGGGCTCCCAGCACGGGAATCCAGGTTGTCAACTCTTCTTCATCCTGACATAGTCTAAGATGAAAGTTGGCTCAGCCATTCTCCTTTGCAGCCATTAATCTTATCAGAACCACCATTATATAAGTTATATAAAGGCAGACAGTTTTGCAGTTTTATAGATGAGGACACTGAGGCTCAGAGAGGTTGAGTGACATGCTGTAGTGAATGGCAGCATTGTGACCTGAAGCCAGCGTGGCCAGTCATTCCTTTGTCTGCTCTCAGAGCCATCCCTTGCCTGCTGGTGGTCTACACTCATATGTAGTGGTCTATACTTAGGTGTGTACCCTTTTCCATCACCCCATTGTCCCTAAACTCACTGCATCCTCGCATCTCAAGAAATCTGTCCAAACTAATCTTCCTAAGTTCAGCCAAGCCCTTTACATCCCCAGCTCAATGGATTTTTTTTTGTCTGTAATCTCCCAACCTGACCACTTTGCAATATGTGTCTTGTAAGGCCACTTTCAGAAACCTATCCCTCCATTTCAGTTCAACATCCAGAAAATTTCATGGACATCTGCTCTGTATTAGGGTCTTTGGACCTGGTGCTGTGCCGGATAGAAACATAAACAATATTTACTCTCTAGGCTCTGAATTTTCACTATTTCCCAGTCTAATGGAAAAAGATACAAGCTGACACAGTAACACGATGTAACAGACATCTGCTTTCCATTTTCCCCTCCTGTCCTTCCCATTACTGCCTTTCATTCATCATGGAATTTTTCTTCCTTCTCCTGTCCCTGAAGTCCCCAAAAGGGAGCATCTTCAAGAATTTAACACTTTTATGGCAATCATAATGATGATGATGACAATGATCCTCCTCCTTATCATCATCACCACATCATTGTAACAGATTTATTGAGCACATATTATGTTCCAGACACTGTGCTAAGCAATTTACTTGCATTTATTTCATTTGAATCATGCAGTAATTTAATAATGTTGATACACTTACCTGCATTTCACAAATGGGGAAACTGAGACTTGGAAGGCCAGTTGATGCTCCCATGCTCCTAACTGTATTCCAGATGCTTACTTGCCGGCCTCTGCTGGCTTCATACGATCTTTGGGATGTGGTTATCTATGCCTGCATGTGGCTACCTTCCATCTTCATCTCTAGTCTGGACCATTTTCCCAATGTTCTCAACCAATCTTTACATCACTTTAAGATTTCTACCATCTTGATAACATTAATACCTTGTACCTCTTCTCTCTTTCTGTAAACATCAACTTCACTCCCCAAATTGCTTGGTAACAGAGGCTGGAAACTAGATTCTTTCTAACTCTTCTCTTCCTAATTGCTCAGACACCATCACTCATGGCATCTTTTCTTTTCTTTTCTTTTCTTTTCTTTTTTTTTTTTTTTTGAGACAGAATCGCACCCTGTCTCCCAGGCTGGAGTGAAGTGGCGCAGTTTTGGCTCACTGCAACCTCCACCTCCCGGGTTCAAGCGATTCTCCCACCTCAGCCTCCCAAATAGTTGGGACTACAAGTATGCGCCACCATGCCCAACTAATTTTTGTATTTTTAGTAGAGACAGGGCCCAACTAATTTTTGTATTTTTAGTAGAGACAGGGTTTCACCATGTTGACCAGGCTGGTCTCGAACTCCTGACCTCAATTGACCTGCCCTCCTTGGGCTCCCCATGTGCTTGGTTTACTGCATGAGTCACCATGCTTGGCCAGGCATCAGCCAATTCTTTCTACAAAGTGGTTTGCATAATTTTCAGGGACCAACCCAAATACCAGCTCCTTGTTGAAAGTGATCCCCAGTTGAAAGTGATCCCTCCCTCCTCTGCAGTTCTGCAGAGCACATTTTGCATGACACTTGGAGCTTCTACCAAGTTCCATAATGAATGCCGTATACTATTTGTGAACATTTCTTATTATCTTTAATAGATGGTGTCTTTTCATTTATGTCCTTATGTCAATGAGTAAGTACATACTCAAGTCCTATGTTGCTTTCACCCTTTAGATAATAAGAATTATTTTCAAATCCTACAGTATCCCCTAGGATGCTCAGGATGAATATCACAAAGAAGAAATAATTCCAGAAGATCAAGGAAACAGGGAGAGAACGCTAGCAGCTAATGCAAAGACAACAAATGATTTACAACATGAGAACAATCTGAACACACTTATGGTTTAACAAAACATAAAAAATTCGTGAGGTACTGAGTGTGGCAGGCAGCCACTACAATGGCCCCCGATAACCCCTGCCTTTAGGG